CGCCGCGCGGCGGCTCGCGCGGCTCCCAGTCGAGCGCGCGCAGCGTGTAGCGCTCTAAATCTATAGATGTAAGGTTGCAATTGCAACAGCACTGACCGATGATGCCCGCGTCGGCGGCCACGTCGTAGAAGTAGCTCAAGGCGGCGACGGCGCCGCGCGGCGGCTCGCGCGGCTCCCAGTCGAGCGCGCGCAGCGTGTAGCGCTCTAAATCTATAGATGTAAGGTTGCAATTGCAACAGCACTGACCGATGATGCCCGCGTCGGCGGCCACGTCGTAGAAGTAGCTCATGGCGGCGACGGCGCCGCGCGGCGGCTCGCGCGGCTCCCAGTCGAGCGCGCGCAGCGTGTAGCGCTCTAAATCTATAGAAGTAAGGTTGCAATTGCAACAGCACTGACCGATGATGCCCGCGTCGGCGGCCACGTCGTAGAAGTAGCTCATGGCGGCGACGGCGCCGCGCGGCGGCTCGCGCGGCTCCCAGTCGAGCGCGCGCAGCGTGTAGCGCTCTAAATCTATAGATGTAAGGTTGCAATTGCAACAGCACTGACCGATGATGCCCGCGTCGGCGGCCACGTCGTAGAAGTAGCTCAAGGCGGCGACGGCGCCGCGCGGCGGCTCGCGCGGCTCCCAGTCGAGCGCGCGCAGCGTGTAGCGCTCTAAATCTATAGATGTAAGGTTGCAATTGCAACAGCACTGACCGATGATGCCCGCGTCGGCGGCCACGTCGTAGAAGTAGCTCATGGCGGCGACGGCGCCGCGCGGCGGCTCGCGCGGCTCCCAGTCGAGCGCGCGCAGCGTGTAGCGCTCTAAATCTATAGACGTAAGGTTGCAATTGCAACAGCACTGACCGATGATGCCCGCGTCGGCGGCCACGTCGTAGAAGTAGCTCATGGCGGCGACGGCGCCGCGCGGCGGCTCGCGCGGCTCCCAGTCGAGCGCGCGCAGCGTGTAGCGCTCTAAATCTATAGATGTAAGGTTGCAATTGCAACAGCACTGACCGATGATGCCCGCGTCGGCGGCCACGTCGTAGAAGTAGCTCATGGCGGCGACGGCGCCGCGCGGCGGCTCGCGCGGCTCCCAGTCGAGCGCGCGCAGCGTGTAGCGCTCTAAATCTATAGATGTAAGGTTGCAATTGCAACAGCACTGACCGATGATGCCCGCGTCGGCGGCCACGTCGTAGAAGTAGCTCAAGGCGGCGACGGCGCCGCGCGGCGGCTCGCGCGGCTCCCAGTCGAGCGCGCGCAGCGTGTAGCGCTCTAAATCTATAGATGTAAGGTTGCAATTGCAACAGCACTGACCGATGATGCCCGCGTCGGCGGCCACGTCGTAGAAGTAGCTCAAGGCGGCGACGGCGCCGCGCGGCGGCTCGCGCGGCTCCCAGTCGAGCGCGCGCAGCGTGTAGCGCTCTAAATCTATAGATGTAAGGTTGCAATTGCAACAGCACTGACCGATGATGCCCGCGTCGGCGGCCACGTCGTAGAAGTAGCTCATGGCGGCGACGGCGCCGCGCGGCGGCTCGCGCGGCTCCCAGTCGAGCGCGCGCAGCGTGTAGCGCTCTAAATCTATAGACGTAAGGTTGCAATTGCAACAGCACTGACCGATGATGCCCGCGTCGGCGGCCACGTCGTAGAAGTAGCTCATGGCGGCGACGGCGCCGCGCGGCGGCTCGCGCGGCTCCCAGTCGAGCGCGCGCAGCGTGTAGCGCTCTAAATCTATAGATGTAAGGTTGCAATTGCAACAGCACTGACCGATGATGCCCGCGTCGGCGGCCACGTCGTAGAAGTAGCTCAAGGCGGCGACGGCGCCGCGCGGCGGCTCGCGCGGCTCCCAGTCGAGCGCGCGCAGCGTGTAGCGCTCTAAATCTATAGATGTAAGGTTGCAATTGCAACAGCACTGACCGATGATGCCCGCGTCGGCGGCCACGTCGTAGAAGTAGCTCATGGCGGCGACGGCGCCGCGCGGCGGCTCGCGCGGCTCCCAGTCGAGCGCGCGCAGCGTGTAGCGCTCTAAATCTATAGACGTAAGGTTGCAATTGCAACAGCACTGACCGATGATGCCCGCGTCGGCGGCCACGTCGTAGAAGTAGCTCATGGCGGCGACGGCGCCGCGCGGCGGCTCGCGCGGCTCCCAGTCGAGCGCGCGCAGCGTGTAGCGCTCTAAATCTATAGATGTAAGGTTGCAATTGCAACAGCACTGACCGATGATGCCCGCGTCGGCGGCCACGTCGTAGAAGTAGCTCATGGCGGCGACGGCGCCGCGCGGCGGCTCGCGCGGCTCCCAGTCGAGCGCGCGCAGCGTGTAGCGCTCTAAATCTATAGATGTAAGGTTGCAATTGCAACAGCACTGACCGATGATGCCCGCGTCGGCGGCCACGTCGTAGAAGTAGCTCAAGGCGGCGACGGCGCCGCGCGGCGGCTCGCGCGGCTCCCAGTCGAGCGCGCGCAGCGTGTAGCGCTCTAAATCTATAGATGTAAGGTTGCAATTGCAACAGCACTGACCGATGATGCCCGCGTCGGCGGCCACGTCGTAGAAGTAGCTCATGGCGGCGACGGCGCCGCGCGGCGGCTCGCGCGGCTCCCAGTCGAGCGCGCGCAGCGTGTAGCGCTCTAAATCTATAGATGTAAGGTTGCAATTGCAACAGCACTGACCGATGATGCCCGCGTCGGCGGCCACGTCGTAGAAGTAGCTCATGGCGGCGACGGCGCCGCGCGGCGGCTCGCGCGGCTCCCAGTCGAGCGCGCGCAGCGTGTAGCGCTCTAAATCTATAGATGTAAGGTTGCAATTGCAACAGCACTGACCGATGATGCCCGCGTCGGCGGCCACGTCGTAGAAGTAGCTCATGGCGGCGACGGCGCCGCGCGGCGGCTCGCGCGGCTCCCAGTCGAGCGCGCGCAGCGTGTAGCGCTCTAAATCTATAGATGTAAGGTTGCAATTGCAACAGCACTGACCGATGATGCCCGCGTCGGCGGCCACGTCGTAGAAGTAGCTCAAGGCGGCGACGGCGCCGCGCGGGGCGGGCTCGCGCGGCTCCCAGTCGAGCGCGCGCAGCGTGTAGCGCTCTAAATCTATAGATGTAAGGTTGCAATTGCAACAGCACTGACCGATGATGCCCGCGTCGGCGGCCACGTCGTAGAAGTAGCTCATGGCGGCGACGGCGCCGCGCGGCGGCTCGCGCGGCTCCCAGTCGAGCGCGCGCAGCGTGTAGCGCTCTAAATCTATAGATGTAAGGTTGCAATTGCAACAGCACTGACCGATGATGCCCGCGTCGGCGGCCACGTCGTAGAAGTAGCTCATGGCGGCGACGGCGCCGCACGGCGGCTCGCGCGGCTCCCAGTCGAGCGCGCGCAGCGTGTAGCGCTCTAAATCTATAGATGTAAGGTTGCAATTGCAACAGCACTGACCGATGATGCCCGCGTCGGCGGCCACGTCGTAGAAGTAGCTCATGGCGGCGACGGCGCCGCGCGGCGGCTCGCGCGGCTCCCAGTCGAGCGCGCGCAGCGTGTAGCGCTCTAAATCTATAGATGTAAGGTTGCAATTGCAACAGCACTGACCGATGATGCCCGCGTCGGCGGCCACGTCGTAGAAGTAGCTCAAGGCGGCGACGGCGCCGCGCGGCGGCTCGCGCGGCTCCCAGTCGAGCGCGCGCAGCGTGTAGCGCTCTAAATCTATAGATGTAAGGTTGCAATTGCAACAGCACTGACCGATGATGCCCGCGTCGGCGGCCACGTCGTAGAAGTAGCTCATGGCGGCGACGGCGCCGCGCGGCGGCTCGCGCGGCTCCCAGTCGAGCGCGCGCAGCGTGTAGCGCTCTAAATCTATAGACGTAAGGTTGCAATTGCAACAGCACTGACCGATGATGCCCGCGTCGGCGGCCACGTCGTAGAAGTAGCTCATGGCGGCGACGGCGCCGCGCGGCGGCTCGCGCGGCTCCCAGTCGAGCGCGCGCAGCGTGTAGCGCTCTAAATCTATAGATGTAAGGTTGCAATTGCAACAGCACTGACCGATGATGCCCGCGTCGGCGGCCACGTCGTAGAAGTAGCTCAAGGCGGCGACGGCGCCGCGCGGCGGCTCGCGCGGCTCCCAGTCGAGCGCGCGCAGCGTGTAGCGCTCTAAATCTATAGATGTAAGGTTGCAATTGCAACAGCACTGACCGATGATGCCCGCGTCGGCGGCCACGTCGTAGAAGTAGCTCATGGCGGCGACGGCGCCGCGCGGCGGCTCGCGCGGCTCCCAGTCGAGCGCGCGCAGCGTGTAGCGCTCTAAATCTATAGACGTAAGGTTGCAATTGCAACAGCACTGACCGATGATGCCCGCGTCGGCGGCCACGTCGTAGAAGTAGCTCATGGCGGCGACGGCGCCGCGCGGCGGCTCGCGCGGCTCCCAGTCGAGCGCGCGCAGCGTGTAGCGCTCTAAATCTATAGATGTAAGGTTGCAATTGCAACAGCACTGACCGATGATGCCCGCGTCGGCGGCCACGTCGTAGAAGTAGCTCATGGCGGCGACGGCGCCGCGCGGCGGCTCGCGCGGCTCCCAGTCGAGCGCGCGCAGCGTTGTAGCGCTCTAAATCTATAGATGTAAGGTTGCAATTGCAACAGCACTGACCGATGATGCCCGCGTCGGCGGCCACGTCGTAGAAGTAGCTCAAGGCGGCGACGGCGCCGCGCGGCGGCTCGCGCGGCTCCCAGTCGAGCGCGCGCAGCGTGTAGCGCTCTAAATCTATAGATGTAAGGTTGCAATTGCAACAGCACTGACCGATGATGCCCGCGTCGGCGGCCACGTCGTAGAAGTAGCTCATGGCGGCGACGGCGCCGCGCGGCGGCTCGCGCGGCTCCCAGTCGAGCGCGCGCAGCGTGTAGCGCTCTAAATCTATAGACGTAAGGTTGCAATTGCAACAGCACTGACCGATGATGCCCGCGTCGGCGGCCACGTCGTAGAAGTAGCTCATGGCGGCGACGGCGCCGCGCGGCGGCTCGCGCGGCTCCCAGTCGAGCGCGCGCAGCGTTTAGCGCTCTAAATCTATAGATGTAAGGTTGCAATTGCAACAGCACTGACCGATGATGCCCGCGTCGGCGGCCACGTCGTAGAAGTAGCTCAAGGCGGCGACGGCGCCGCGCGGCGGCTCGCGCGGCTCCCAGTCGAGCGCGCGCAGCGTGTAGCGCTCTAAATCTATAGATGTAAGGTTGCAATTGCAACAGCACTGACCGATGATGCCCGCGTCGGCGGCCACGTCGTAGAAGTAGCTCATGGCGGCGACGGCGCCGCGCGGCGGCTCGCGCGGCTCCCAGTCGAGCGCGCGCAGCGTGTAGCGCTCTAAATCTATAGACGTAAGGTTGCAATTGCAACAGCACTGACCGATGATGCCCGCGTCGGCGGCCACGTCGTAGAAGTAGCTCATGGCGGCGACGGCGCCGCGCGGCGGCTCGCGCGGCTCCCAGTCGAGCGCGCGCAGCGTGTAGCGCTCTAAATCTATAGATGTAAGGTTGCAATTGCAACAGCACTGACCGATGATGCCCGCGTCGGCGGCCACGTCGTAGAAGTAGCTCATGGCGGCGACGGCGCCGCGCGGCGGCTCGCGCGGCTCCCAGTCGAGCGCGCGCAGCGTGTAGCGCTCTAAATCTATAGATGTAAGGTTGCAATTGCAACAGCACTGACCGATGATGCCCGCGTCGGCGGCCACGTCGTAGAAGTAGCTCATGGCGGCGACGGCGCCGCGCGGCGGCTCGCGCGGCTCCCAGTCGAGCGCGCGCAGCGTGTAGCGCTCTAAATCTATAGACGTAAGGTTGCAATTGCAACAGCACTGACCGATGATGCCCGCGTCGGCGGCCACGTCGTAGAAGTAGCTCATGGCGGCGACGGCGCCGCGCGGCGGCTCGCGCGGCTCCCAGTCGAGCGCGCGCAGCGTGTAGCGCTCTAAATCTATAGATGTAAGGTTGCAATTGCAACAGCACTGACCGATGATGCCCGCGTCGGCGGCCACGTCGTAGAAGTAGCTCAAGGCGGCGACGGCGCCGCGCGGCGGCTCGCGCGGCTCCCAGTCGAGCGCGCGCAGCGTGTAGCGCTCTAAATCTATAGATGTAAGGTTGCAATTGCAACAGCACTGACCGATGATGCCCGCGTCGGCGGCCACGTCGTAGAAGTAGCTCATGGCGGCGACGGCGCCGCGCGGCGGCTCGCGCGGCTCCCAGTCGAGCGCGCGCAGCGTGTAGCGCTCTAAATCTATAGACGTAAGGTTGCAATTGCAACAGCACTGACCGATGATGCCCGCGTCGGCGGCCACGTCGTAGAAGTAGCTCATGGCGGCGACGGCGCCGCGCGGCGGCTCGCGCGGCTCCCAGTCGAGCGCGCGCAGCGTGTAGCGCTCTAAATCTATAGATGTAAGGTTGCAATTGCAACAGCACTGACCGATGATGCCCGCGTCGGCGGCCACGTCGTAGAAGTAGCTCATGGCGGCGACGGCGCCGCGCGGCGGCTCGCGCGGCTCCCAGTCGAGCGCGCGCAGCGTGTAGCGCTCTAAATCTATAGATGTAAGGTTGCAATTGCAACAGCACTGACCGATGATGCCCGCGTCGGCGGCCACGTCGTAGAAGTAGCTCATGGCGGCGACGGCGCCGCGCGGCGGCTCGCGCGGCTCCCAGTCGAGCGCGCGCAGCGTGTAGCGCTCTAAATCTATAGATGTAAGGTTGCAATTGCAACAGCACTGACCGATGATGCCCGCGTCGGCGGCCACGTCGTAGAAGTAGCTCATGGCGGCGACGGCGCCGCGCGGCGGCTCGCGCGGCTCCCAGTCGAGCGCGCGCAGCGTGTAGCGCTCTAAATCTATAGATGTAAGGTTGCAATTGCAACAGCACTGACCGATGATGCCCGCGTCGGCGGCCACGTCGTAGAAGTAGCTCATGGCGGCGACGGCGCCGCGCGGCGGCTCGCGCGGCTCCCAGTCGAGCGCGCGCAGCGTGTAGCGCTCTAAATCTATAGATGTAAGGTTGCAATTGCAACAGCACTGACCGATGATGCCCGCGTCGGCGGCCACGTCGTAGAAGTAGCTCATGGCGGCGACGGCGCCGCGCGGCGGCTCGCGCGGCTCCCAGTCGAGCGCGCGCAGCGTGTAGCGCCGCACCAGCTCGTGGCAGCGCGCGTACGCCGCCTCGCGCTTCATGCCCGCCGGGCGCGCCGCGCCGCTGCACAGTGAGTAACCATAAACAATTTAAAAAAAATAAGTCGTTCTATTTTAAGGCAAAGGCATATATAGACATACAGCCTAGTTTGATGTGGATTTGTTAAAAAATTCTTCACTATAATGCTGAAGGCATCAAGGCATAATAAAACTGCGATTGCCAATCCATTTGCCAAGCGTGGCAAATATGACAAAATCCCTTCTATTAAGCAAAATGAGGTAGCCATTTGTTCAGCAGTGAATTGTAGTTGATTTTATAAACTGTGAATTAATACTTTTTTCTATTTAAAACGGAAGTTACAAACGGAACTTATAGTCCACCTCATGATGAAAAGTTACTGCAGTCTATTGACACTTGCAGCCAACTTTAAAGAAAGTAAAAAACTACGTATGCATTGTTACCTCTGAGAACTAAAACGGAATGCCTCACAGCCTGTAGTTATACTGACTCTCTATACCCTTCAGACCAGAACATAGCACTGCAAACACTGCTATTTAGTGAGATTAACAAGAAAGAGAGTAGGGCCCAGACCCTTAGGCAGAATAGAAATGCCCTACAACGTTATATTGCTCAGAGAACAGAAGGAGGTCTGTGGAAGAAAGATTCTCAATTGGCTAACTTGTACCAATAAGCAAAGTGTAATCCAACCCCCACTAAATGGAATGAAGAAAGTGTAGGCCAACTGCCACTAGATGAATTGAGCACCTCATTGTTGTGACCGTCTACATACCCCATGTTCTAATACGATACTTTTGAAAAAAATATGGAGGATGTTTTTGTTAAGCTTAATAAACAAAATAAATCTGTTCTAATATTTGGAGACTTTAATATCAATCTCCTAGAAGCTTCCTCCACCAATATTAAATTTAGATTATTGTTTAAATCATACGGTCTTTTTAATTTATTTTTAGAGGCATCGCATATTGGCCAATCTAGTGCAACATGTATAGATAACATCTTTACCAATGTTAAGCCGTTGCATAAATGTATAATTCAAAAATTAAGTTTCGATCACTGTGGACAATTAGTTTAGTTAGCTTATGTTCACAAAAAGTAAGTAGATGAAAAATTTGTGTTTTGTTCCAGTAAATGCATGTCGCTTGCAGAAGTTTAAAAGTAACATAGTGAAAAAACTTCCATCACTTTCATACCAAAAGGATAATTTTTTTTTGTGTGGAACATTGTTTAAGCTTATTTGCAATGAATTTAATAATACTTTTACTTCTAAAACATTGTCCTTGAACAGTCTGAAGACATTGAATGAATGGGCGACGGTAGGCATCCATAAAAGTAGACAAAGGTTATATGAACTTTACCATGAAAGGTCAAATAACCCTAGCATCGAATTTGTAAAAAAATATTTAAAAGAGTATGCTCCACAGCCAAGTCTTTGCATTTGAGCAACAAAATTAAGACGACTTCTAATAAAATTAAAATGACGTGGAGTATAATTAACAGTGAAACTGGTAAGGTCAACTCTCGCAATTCAAACTACCGGTTAAGTTTTAACAACAAATTAACTGAATCAGATCAGGATGTTTCAATGGTCTTTGAGAAATATTTTACTGATATTCCGATCTTAACCAATAAGTCACTGAATTCTTCTCCTGCCGTCGCCGATCCATTGCTTAAACAAAATGTAAACGCGTGTACAAAGAATTTTACATTTCATAAAATATCATCAAGAGATATTGTAAAATATTTTAAAATGATTGATATTAAGAAAACTGCAGATCTGTGGGGGATTTCCGTTAAAATTATTACGTCTTTAATAGATATAATCTCGACTCAACTAGTTATTATTTTTAATACTAGTATCAATAATGGTGTGTTTCCAGATTTAATGAAGCATAGTAAAGTAATACCTTTATTTAAATTTGGTAATACATTAGACCCTGCCAATTTTAGACCAATTTCTGTACTGCACTTAGCAAAATTTTTGAAAAATCTTTGATTGAATGTTAATTTTTTTAATGTAAATAATTTACTTCATAAAAATCAAGTCGGTTTCACAAGGGGAGTGACCCCTTGTGAAACCAAATTGATTGTGTGACCAACAACTGATGCTGGTGTTAAGCTGATTAAATATATTTTTAATGCATGGCAGAATTCACAGGATGCTTTGAATATTCTGTGAAAGCCATCGATTGTTTTCACCATGAAACATTAATCAGAAAAACTTAAAATTTTGTTTGACCTCTCAATACATTTATGAAAATGTAATGTACGTACACCAAAAATAAAAGTGGTAATACAAAAATAAATGACATTAATTCTGTAAATACTAGGAACAAACAAGCTAGTAGTACCAGTTACTCGACTCCACCGAGTCAGTAATTCATTCTTGGGGCGACGTATATAATACGCTTTTACAACAAAGTTCCATAAAATATACAAAATTTGACCTGTTCAAAGTTTAAAAACTTTATTAAACAAAGTTTGTATAAAAAGGGTTATTATAATATTAAACAATTTATGGATGATAATAACCCCTGGGAAGGTGGTAAGGTGATCTCCACCCAGCTGTTTCTAATTTGTTTTGTGTGGTTAAGTGTAACAATCATGATTGTAAGTTATTTTAAAAAAAAATGTCCCGCTGGGTTTCTTGTCAATAGTAAAAATCTATTCCTAGTTCCTAACAAAAAAGAATATTAGGTTGTTACCACACCAATCGATCGATCGTCGATCGATGTTGTTGATCGACATAGATCGATGTCGATCGATTGATACTGGTTGATTAAACATTGTTCATTCATCGATCGACCGATTGGTGTGGTAACACTCTTAGTGTCACGTTTGCTAAAAATGTTAACAAGCACAAAAATACCCACCTTATAAAGTACTCTTTGTTAGCATATGTCCAAGGTTCTCGTTGGACGATGGGGTCAACGCAGACCGATGTAAATTCATTCGTGGCGTTGTCTCCTGCTTCTAAACGGAAGATACCATAACGAGCAGCAAGAAGTCCCAGGTTCAAGTAACTGAAAGCAACAAATAATCAAAATTAATAAAGTAATGATTTGTGTGGTGGCGACGTGAAAACCGTCACCACATTTCATGAAGGGAATAGCTAGAAAATCTCATTGCTACCTAAATCATTATAATTAGTAATTTATTTCGGAATACAAGTATCCACAGGGGTTTGAAACATTTGGAATATAATTTCGCACGTGTGATATTGCTCCTATAATATTTGGGTCGGCGTCTGCCATCAGCCGGGCGCGCTAGATACAGGTAAGGTTAGTATTTGTCCCGCATTTCATATTTAATAATTATATAAAATTATTGTAAAATTTTAAATTGCGGGGTGGGTTTCTTGCAATTTTTTTCCAAGACAGATACTTTAAACACAGTGATAGATTAAAGCTTCACTTTCAATAAGTATTATGTAATCAATAATAATCTATACTGAATATAAATATTCTATTCACCTACAACTCGTAACCGTCGCCGTTCATATCGGCCGTGCAAACAGTCCGTCTCTGTCATTGGTACGTATTACCATTATATCCGTCCCGCTCTCACCTGTGCGTGTAGAGCGTGACGTTCACGCCGGCGGCCACGACGTGCCTATCGGACTCTGGATATTGCGTCACCTCGCTGTCGCTCAACTGGTACGTAATCTGCGTAGAACCACCGCCCAAGTCCAGCGCGGCCATTGTCTCGCCGCCTAACAGATCTGTAATACAATAAAGTCATAAATTCATATTTATTTCGAAAAAATAAAATAAATCTATCCAGTAGTTTTTCCGTGATGCGCGCAAAACTGCAAACCTCTATCATTTTTTTTAATCTAGATTATATATAACTATAATAACTACTTAGATCAATATTCTCGCAGGCAAAGCTGCGGGATTGTTCTGGAGCGAGAAAAAAAAACAACTATCAATATATACTCACTGTGTAACAAATTGGTTGTGTACCAAATGAAAATGCCTTCATCAGCGCCATCCATGATCTCCACAGCGTTCGGACCGATATCGTAGCCCATTCTGAAATATTAGAAGTGTATATATTAATTAATAGAATCAGGCGTTACTTTGCGGAAGTCCATTATATTAAAGTTTACTTAGCGGTCAGCCACCACAGAGTCTAGATCACCTGAAGATACCTCGTGTAGAGGCGAAACACGTGTCGTATTGTCGTCAGTGGTGTATCTTTCCTAGTGTAATGGTGTTGGGAGTAGTGGTGCTGGGATCATTGGTGCTGGGATTAGTGGTGACAGTGATAGTGCACGCAATAGAGGAAGGGCGGGAGGTGATCTTTAAACTAGATAAGACACATCATTTTATTTTATCGAGCGGATGTGCGCGAAGTAATTTTTTTACCAAATTTAATAGTGTATATTTCGTTTATTTTCGGAATCTGAAACAGGAGATGGGCAGCAGCATCTTCCTGATAATAATTCAAAAGAATAAAAACTGCTGTTCATAACCCGCCTGCCGAGCAACTATGGCTAAATCATCTCGACGATGCAATCTTTGAGGGAGGCCTATTTTGTTTTTTATAGAATAAGGGAATACAAGATAGCATCATTCGTGCTGCATCCATAAAACAGCTAGACAGTGGCTCTACCACGTAGAAAAGTTTACGCAATACAACGAAACGAAACGTCAAACATTACAATTTACAAACTACCACAATGACTTAAGTACCAGCGGGTTTTTTTTATAGAATAAGGGTGACAAACGAGCACACAGTCCACCTGATGTTAAGTGGATATTGCGACCCATAGACATCTAGATCTATCTTCGATTAAGAATCAAAATGCAGATGCGTTGTCAACCCAGATGATTAAGATGGAATGCCTCGTTTTCATTAGGAAGGGTCTCTGATTCTCTACAATCACCCATTCGAAACACAACAGCATTCGGCAGCTAATTTACGCTGATATTCTGTGAGAGCGTGGTCCTACCCCGGTGGAGCCAACTCATTCCTATTCCAACTATTCCAATTATAATATAGCCGCAGCGTGGCTCTACCGCGTAAAAAATATTATATTCTTCCGGTATACTCCCGACAAAATCGAGTTTGTTTTGTATTTCGTACTCCCGAAACCAAAGTGCACAATCGAATGATGGTTCAAATTTTAATTAACAGAATGGAAGTCTGCAGCTGTCCGCCGCTAGGTGGCACTCTAAAAAGACGATAATACTTTTTCGTGATAAGCGTGCCCTATTTATGTAATAATTTTTTTTTAGAATTTTATTTTTAATTTTTTTTAATGAAGCGAGAACGTGGTCCTACCCCGATAGAGCGGACCCATTTGTGCTACAAACCTAATATAGCTGGAGCGTTGCTCTTTCACGTAAATAATAGATAGTAGAAGAATTAAGCAGTAGAAGTTTATAGGCTGTTATGAATTAATGAATTTATAAACGCGAAAAAACCTAGCAAGCTAACAACATAGCAAAGTGGCGAAGCAATCAGCTTTGTAGCGGTTTCTAACGGTTGCCGTTGAGCAATCAGTTTCAAAATAGGAGCTTCAGATGCCTGGGTGATCAGTAATCGATTGCTGAAAACAGAATTTGAAAATTCGAAACCGTTCTCGAGATAAACGTGGGACAGACGAACAGACGGACAGACGGACAGACATCGTGAAGCTTGCGAAGTCACTTATTGATTATAAGTGACTTCGCAAGCTTCGCCACTTAATAAACACAATCACACAGAATACTAGCGCAAAATAGCAGAATAATACTGCCTGAGGCGGATCAAGGGAAACGTTCATGGGGATCCTAGCACTTTCCCCAAACTAAATATAATATTTTTTGTATAATTTTGCTCCTTACTCAAGTCTTACATTGAGATGAATAGCGCGGCAAGAAATTACAGGAATTTATCTGATCAAACATTAACTGTTGATCTTCAAAACATTAACACAAAACATATAGATCGCGACGCCTGAATGCTGCTGTTTCGTAAGGTGACCGATGAACTGAACTGAACGGAAACTTCCAAGTAACGATGCATTTCATCATAGTCCTCGGACATCTGTCATATGTGACAACGCATTCTGCATTCTTTAACAAGTAAAGATGTAATAGGTAAGATTTCATGAGTCACAGCAGACACTGCTACCATTAAGTGGACTGTTTCATCACCTTCACTTGCCTGGATAACTCCACGAACCCCCACCCCACCCCCACCCCTCCTTTCCCCCATGATTTTTTTGCCGTAATCGTCGCTATGTTAGACTTATTTGGTATTATTTGTTGGTTCAATGTTTAAAGGGAACATAGAAAACCTACCAAAATTTAATGTTCACCTTTTCTACAGACTTCAAAAAGGCGACTGTATGTTTATGTATTCAATTCAACTGTATGTTTTTTTTTACACGTGTTACCTCATACCTTTTTTCTAGGTGAACCGATTTAAATGATTCTTTTTTAATTTAAAGCTGGTGCTTCTCATGTGGACTAATATAAATTTGATCAAGGTCAGACCAATAGTTTTTAAGTTATCCTTAATAATTTATATTGAAGTCGGTTGTACAAAATTTTTGAATATACCACTTGTCATTTTACAAAGTAAGCAGATACACATTTACGCCGTCGCAGTCATATACACAAGTGTGTTTCGATATTATATTTTTAACATAGTTCATTATTTGACTTTGATCATAAACATAACATATGAAAATACAAAATTTAATTATATCAACATAATATCTTTATTTTAATTTTATTTCATCTTGTGGCTGTTGTAAGAGACAACAGAGGGAAATGAAACAGAGGATGAGCTAGCAGCATCTTCCTCGTAACAACTGAAAAACAATAAAAACTTTTAAATAAAACTAATTTTACAGATTTTATCACGTAAAATCCGTAAAATTAGTTTTATTTAAATGTGTAGTGTTCGCGTAAATATAAGAGATCATTAATAAAAACTTTGGTTTCCAATTCGGCTATCTAGCTTGAAAAATATTAGGCAATTTATGAGAGACGTATGTAGGCCAAGTTCAGCAGTGGACTTTTCATAGAATATAATAAATGAGTTAATGAATAAATTAATATCGCACTTACGTAGATATTGCTTTAGACACGTGGACGAGAAGCTGCTGGGCTTTATCCTTAGGCAGCAGCCGTAACCCGGCAGTCGCTCGTACGATCAACGGTGTCGATTTCCTTTTCTCTAGCGGAGTAAGGAATTCCGCCTTTTTTATTAATTGAACTACTGTGTCGGCGCCCTGAAACATAAGTGTTAATATTATAAAGTTTGGAAAGATGCAATAAATAAATACACAAGTGTTTTTTTTTTATTCACAATGAGAGGGCCCGACCTGGGAAATTGGGTATGAGGCTTTGCAGGATTATAGCGCCTCCTAAGGTGTTATTTTTTATTATTGTTATAGGAGAGGGTGACAAACGAGCAGTCCACCTGATGGTAAGTGGTTTCTGTGACCCATAGACATCTACATCTATCCTCAATAAATAATCAAAATGCGGATGTGTTGTCACCCGTGAGGACTATGATGGAATGCCTCTTTTCCAATAAAGAGGGTCTCCGGTTCTCTACACTCACTCAGTGATAAAAGCTGTGAAGGCGCGAATTCAAAGAAATCCCAAACGTAAACAGAAACTGTTGGCCCTTCAGATGGGGTTAAGCAGAACCACGGTGGAAAGGGTGTTAAATGAAGACTTAGGGCTTCGGGCATATCGAAGAAAAACAGGACATCGTTTGAATGCTCGTCTAATGGACCTGAGACTGAAGAGATGCCGCGCTTTATTGAAGCGGTACGCGGGTAAAAAATATCGGGAAATTCTTTTTTCGGATGAAAAAATTTTTACCGTAGAAGAGAGCTACAACAAACAAAATGATAAGGTAATATATTATTAATCTCTGATTATTATAATAATCAAGTTTGTATGAAATTTGGTTTTTCGAATATTTTGTATTTGTACAACGATCCTTTTAAGCCGCTGCAAACAACCAATACAGCATCCACTCACGACGGCGGCAATGACAAGTGAATGAGTCAGGAAGCCTATTTAGTAAAATAAATTATTACAAGGCTGCTAAAACACCGAAAATTTCGACATTTCGCAGCCGAAAACTTTTAATTATAACTAAACAAAACAAAATTATACTGCCATTTACATTCCATGGCTTCCCACATGATAGATGAAGTGAAGCAATTAAAAAATAGATTGAGTTAAACAATTGATATTTTCAAAAGTTATCGTGTTTACCACTCCATGCGGACTTGATAAATCTACACCATAAGCCACTTTTTAGATAATTAATATAATCAGGCGTTACTTTGCGGAAATCATTATAATGGGGTTGTTATAAACTAATTTGCTTAATTCCGCGTAAGGAGGGTAAATGATGTGTCCTGCCCAGTTTTAAAGGGACCTCCCACCCTCCCTCAATCGCGCGCACTATACCCGTCGCCGTCAATCCCAGCGCTACCATCCCCAGCACCACCACACTAAGCACGACACACCACTCTCGAAAATACGACACGTGTTTCGCCTCTACACGAGGCATCCTCATATGAAGTAGACTCTGCGGAGGCTGGCCGCTAAGTGAGCGGCGAGCCGAAACTACTGCTATTTATACTACTTTCTGACGCAACCGCGCTCCAATTACGTAGAAAGTGATTACGTCATGCGATCAATCACCAACTGACGTACGCAGATACTTGCTGTGAAATTAATGTTACGAGTTTGGGGTTCGAGACAATTAAAAACTGCCGAGTGAATTACCAAAATTGACACTTTAATTACACAACACTAATTACAATCTAAAATCACACTAATAATAAAACACAGTTCGCCGTTATTTCGCTTCGAAGTATTCTCTTGTATCGCCAATTCAATACTGCCCCGGTCGTGGTCTATACCGGCCTTATATAGGGCCTCAGATAGTTTCCAGAACCTTCTACTGTAGCGACATCTAGAATGTTCGAGTACATATCGGTCCCGAAATTTCTGGAAGGAACTCGACTCTCCTAGTTCTGCTACTCGACACTAGAGGGTGCTAGTGTGACTAGTGTTGCCATGTGCAAGACATTAATAGTGGCGCGCCATACTTTCATTTACTCGACACTAGAGGGCGCTAGTGTAACTAGTGTTGCCATGTACAAGATATTAATAGTGGCGCGCAACATTAACAACAGACTACTGCGAAACGTCCGCCTACCCTCCAACCACGCAACCAAACACTGGCCACCGCACCGTGAGGGTGACAAACGACCATGTTGCGAGGCTGTATATCATCAAGGAGCAGGCTTAAACATGTTTAAGAGAGGCGAGTTGGAAACATTTGTTTGTTCATTCAGCAGTGCAACGTTACCGCTATTATTTTTTAATATCTCTAACTGTTCCACCACACAGACTCGTGACCCTTTATTACAAGTATGTAAGACTTTAAGCTGTGTCCAGTGTCCGAGAGATGTTGAGCAAAATGTGATTTATCGGGATTACAATTCCTGTACGCGGCTAAATTTCTGCTCTTTATAACGTGTTTCGAAGTTGCAACCAGTCTGACCAACGTAAACGGCTTGGCATTCGTCACAAACAAGTTTATAAACACCAAACTTTAGACGAATATCTAACTTATCTTTAATATTACAGATATTCCTAAGTGAATTGTTTGTTTTGAACGCCACGTGAACGCCACTCTGTCGAAGAGTATTAGCTATTTTTTCCGATATGGAACCTAAGTAGGTCAAACTGTCAACATATTGACGATCACTTTGAGGTTTAACCACGTACAGAGAATTGCGTACAACAAGCTTTTGTTTTTTTTTTTATTACATTTTCAATGATATTCTCATTAAGCAAATTAGTTTATAACAACCCCGTCACCACTTTTTTATGTAAAAATAGCAATTAATCGATTTAAAAAAATTATTAATAACTTCAACAATCATTTATCTTTCTGACAAGGTGCTTTTTATATCATTTATATGTTCAATATGATTTTAGATACGATTTTACAAAAAATTTGGACAAAAAGGTTGGAATCTTGATTTTTAGGCGCTAGTAGAACATACCTACGCGCTTTGCGCTTAAGGCATGCAATAGAAGTCTTTGTAATGAAGATGATGATGATAATAATGTTTAGATGTCTATTGTTAACCTTCAAAAAAGAGGAGGTTCTCAATTCGAGTTTGTATTTTTTTGTATGTATGTTACCCAATATCTCCGCAGATTGCGAACCAATTTTGATTTTTTTTTTGTTAAATAGGTTATACTTGAAGGGTGGTCCCATATAAAGGACAATGTCCAAAATCGCCCTGTGTAATAAAAGCATCGGAGATACACGATAATTAATTTTCTAGTTTATTATGTTAGTTGCAAATACTTTTATAACACGGACTAGCTGCATGCAAAAATAAACAATAAAAAGTATTTTACTCGACTAATAACATTAATCGCCGCCATCTTCGCCAAACATCATGTAGTGTTGAAAAATGATTAGGGATGCCCAATCGATTATAATCGATTTTTGAATTTAATGAAATACATTTTGAATTTATTTCGAATAAAGTTTCAAAAAGAAGCTACAATAAAAATATAAAATTACCATTTCTTTATATTCTTTTATATTATTCCCTAAAAGTATAATTTAAAAATACCTAATGAATGAGGTCATACTCGATTTTGTATAGGTAGTTAGAATAATGCTGAAGAAAAATATTCGTAAAGATAATTATTCAGGATTTTCTACCGATCGTTTAGAAAGGATTGTATTTTACGTCTTACTAAACGATATCTTACGAGTTTTTCAACAATTAATATTAAAAAAACCACTTATCGTTACTGCATTAATTATAAATGTGTTCTTTAAAAAGAGCAATATTGTAGACTAGACACAGACGTTATTATTAATATTGTTACAAGTATGGAAGAAGTAGAGACGTACGTGTTATTATAAGTAAAGTAGGATATTGTCATACTTCATCATCATTATCATTACAGCCCTTCACAAGTCCACTGCTGAGCATAGGCCTCCCCCAAAAAATGCCACAAAGCACGGTCCTGAGCCACCTGCATCCATCGACTTCCTGCATATCTTACCAGGTCGTCACTCCATCTAGTGGGGGGACGCCCTACACTTCGCCTGCCGGTACGAGGCTGCCACTCGAGAACCTTTCTTCCCCATCGGTTGTCGGTTCTTCGAGCTATATGGCCTGCCCATTGCCACTTCAACTTACTAATCCGTTGGGCTATGTCGGTCACTCTGGTTCTACTGCGGATATCCTCATTTCTGAGTTTATCACGCAGAGAAACTCCGAGCATAGCCCTCTCCATAGCTCGCTGAGCAACCTTGAGCTTCCTCATCCGGTCAGCAGTGAAGGACCACGTCTCAGTTCCGTATGTCATCACTGGCAACACGCACTGGGTGTACAGTCTCGTTTTCAAGTTTTGAGGTATACCTGACGAGAAGATGTGCCGTAATTTCCCGAACGCTGCCCAACCGAGTTGAATCCGTCGATTGACCTCTCGGTCGAAGTTGGACTTACCTAGTCGGACTATTTGTCCCAGGTAAACATACTCGTCAACAACTTCGAGCTTAGTGTTCCCAACAACTACCGGCATAGGTGTGACATGGACATTAAACATGATCTTTGTTTTGTCCATGTTCATCTTAAGACCTATCCGTTGGGAAACACTATTGAGGTCATTGAGCATAGTGCTTAGGTCCTCCAGCGATTCTGCCATAAGGACTATACCGTCGGCAAATCGAAGGTGAGTGATGTACTCGCCATTGATGTTGATACCGTATCGTTTCCAGTCCAGAAGCTTGAAAACATCTTCCAATGCAGCGGTAAAGAGTTTCGGGGATATGACGTCACCCTGTCTTACACCTCTCTGCAATTGGATAGGTTTCGTACTCTGGTTCTGTACTCGGATAGCCATCGTAGCTCTACTGTACAAGCACTTCAACACTTCGATATACCGACAGTCAACTTGGCATCGCTGAAGGGACTGCAGCACCGCCCAAATTTCGACGGAATCAAAGGCTTTCTCATAGTCCACATACGCCAGACATAGTGGCAAATTGTACTCCTCTGACTTCTGTACAATTTGCCGAAGGGTATGTAAGTGATCTATGGTGCTAAAGCCTTTTCGGAAACCGGCTTGTTCGGGAGGCTGGAAGTCGTCAAGTCTGCGCGCGAGACGATTCGTAATGACTCTCGAAAACAGCACGTAGACGCGGCTCAGAAGGGAAATCGGTCTGTAGTTCTTCAAGAGAGCGTTGTCGCCTTTCTTGAAGAACAAGCCCACCGCACTTCTGCTCCACGCCTCCGGTGTAATGCCACCATGGAGGACGGAATTAAAGAGCTTCTGAAGGACTTCAAGTACCGGTTTTCCACCCGCTTTCAGAAGCTCCGCTGTAATTCCATCCTCGCCTCGGGCCTTGCCGTTTTTAAGATGCTGGAGAGCCATTCTAATCTCGCTCAGACTGACGTCCGGGATATCTTCGGAATAGTGTCGGATAAGACTCGCTCTTGGATCGTTACTCACACTTGCGTGCGGCTCCAACGATGACGTGTACAGCTGCCCATAGAACCTGTCAATCTTACTCAAAATCTCAGGTGCCCCGGAAACGATGCTGTCACATTCGGTCTTCAGCTTTGACAGTTGGCTCTTTCTGGCAGACAGATCTCTGGCAAAGACTTTGGAGCCTTGGTTCCGCTCGATCGCTTCTTCAATACGAGCTGTATTGAAGTTGCGTAAGTCCCGCCGCATGCATTTGGAAATCTGTCTGTTCAGATGCCTGTATGCTGTCAAATCTGTTGAAGAATGTAGCTTCATCTCCCGTCTAACAGCCATGAGATTAAGAGTGTGATCGGAGAGTTTTTGTGCTCTTCTGCGGCGGGTCTTGCAGAACTTAGCTCCGACCGCATGGACAGTTTCCACGAGCTTGTCATTCAAATCGTCTACTTCATTGCAGTCTTCTAGGCACTGAAAACGGTTTTGTAACTCGAGCTGAAATATTTCGGGACTTTGGAACAGAGCACGAGGGGGACGGAGCGTTGACTTCATTAGAGGAGACCTCTCCAACTTAACGTTTAGGTTCAGTGTGCCTCTAACCATTCGGTGATCGCTGCCGGTTTTCACCCTCGCGATCACGGAGACATCACTGTACAGTTGTCGTCTGGTCGTCATAATGAAGTCAATCTCATTTATTGTCAAACCGTCGGGGCTCGACCAGGTCCACTTCCTGTGGGGCCGTTTCTGGAAGAAAGAGTTCATCATAAAGAGTCCCTCTTTCTCCATGAAGTCGGCCAGCTGCTGGCCCCTTGGGTTCCGTTGCCCTATTCCAAATTTCCCCACTTTCAGCTCACCGTTCTCTCTTGTGCCTAGTTTTGCATTGAAGTCTCCCATTAACACCGTATATTGGGTTTTGGAGGAATGCATAGCTCTAGAGATATCCTCATACTTTTCTCCACCTCCTGATCGGGGTGTGCCGAGGTTGGTGCGTAAACCTGTATGACCTTCAGCGAATACCGTTTGGTGATTCTGAGTATAAGGTACGCAACCCTCGTCGACACACTCTCAATCTTTACAACGTTGTTAACGAGAGACTTGTGGACGATAAATCCGACACCTCCTTGGGACAGATGGTCGCCCTCCCGGTGATAGAGCAAGTTGCCGGATTCGAGGATTACCGTGTCCTCCCCCTCTCTTCGGACTTCGGATAATCCTATAATATGTCAGCGTAACTTGTCTATCTCTTCTTCCAGCTCCACAATCTTCTCGTCTGTCCTCAGGGTGCGTGCGTTGTATGTTGCCAGGTCGAGTCGTCGTAGGTGGCAACCGAACCTCCACCGGAGATATTTAGCACCCTCTGCCCCGCCGTTACCATGGTCGCCACCGTAGCCAGGAATAGCGGGGCCGCCGGGGACTGGGGGCCGTCTCTTCGTAACTTTCATCATGGGGGGTATATTGCCATAGTTGCCACGCTTGGCGAGCGGGTTGGCAACCGCAGTTTTTTATTGTATTTTTGCCATTACCAGGAAGATGCTGCTGCCCATCTCCTGCCTGTTTCCCTTTGTCGCCTTTTACGACACCCACGGGAAGATATGGGGTAGTGGACTTGTTATGGTATTAATATTATCGTATGACAAAAGATGATTTGTGATGTGATGTTTGTTTGTAACGTATGGCTATAATAAATCTTATGAAATATTCATAAATCGTATCGTATTTAGCGCTCCTATTTTTGATGTCACTAAATTGTCACTTGTCACTTGTCAGTCTCTCATGAAAAAAATACGATCTCCAAATCAATTCAAATCGAACATACTAGAATCGAATCTCGATTAAATCAAGCATTAACAGATCTAATTTTGATCAATCGCGACATTTTCAAACATGCCTAATATGGACAGAGAACATAATTATTGACGATAATTTACCGTAAATACAAATAATTGTATAGAAACATCATTAAATAAATAAACATAACATCACGCTTGTATTTCTCAGAAGGAGTAGGTAGAGGTATGTAGTACTAAGTTATACGTCCCATGTAATAGAGAAACAAGCCAAACACCGGACACAAATCCAGACTCCGTGCTACTACTGGGAACTTCAAGTTATAAAAAAAATTGTCATACCCTGGGATTGAACCCAGAACAGAACAGTTTTTCTGTCTGTCACAAGGAACAGATGTTCCACCTATGCAAAAGTATTTCTTGAATCGTTTGAAATATTCTTGAATAAGTCCAACTCGAGACGTTTTTGGATCGATTCATTGAATCGATGGAGTGTTCTAAGTCGATATCAGGACATCGGATAAGGATTCTTCAGATCTATATCGATCTGGAAAATCGATTATTTTATTATAAACAATCGATTAAACGATTTCAAATCGACATGCCTACTTTATACTGTCATCTTTCACTCTGTCAAAATTACATTGGTTAGTGTCGTTTGCTTTTTGTGATTGTATCGGTGTTTTGGTGACTTTCGGGACTATATATTGAACATTGGCTATTTTAACGGACTCTTATTGCTTTCAAGAACGACTTACCTTGCTGTGATTTTCGGAACTGTGTCCCGCTAATACGATAACCTAGCATTCATAAACGGTTATACGCATACGCAATGGAAAGTGTATTTTGTGTAAATCGCGGCTCTGCTGGTGGTTCAATGTTTTTGAAAGATGAACAGAGAAGCAATCGTGCAATATTGCTGTAATTGCATCGTTGTACGCACCGTTGAACCATCGGTTGCTGCGCCCATGTTATGACCATCATCATTTAGAAGATGAACAATATACATGAAATTAATCTGTGTTTTATTTCTAATTCAAACATAATAAATTAATGTAGTTTAAACAACTTATACTCCCAATTAGGTGCTAAGTCGGTAAGGCTGGTTTCATAGTCACGCGTTTGAACAGCGCCGTCCAGACGCACACGCTTGCAAATGCACTAGATAGTAGTCGGTAATATTCACGCTGTTCAAGCGCGCCCTGTTGAAAATTCGTTAAAACCCTGGTTGATACGCTCGCTGTTCGACGGCATGTCTAGCGGTGTGACTGAACCATCCTAAATCCTCTACATTTAGGTACTAGGTATCTCGCCGTTCCGTATATGCTAATGGCAACATCTAAATGCTAACAGCCATTATATACATACATTTTTATTTTTACATGAATACACAAACATTATCTCTCATTTCGAAACTAATGCTAAGAAAGCAGGTTTATTAACTAGATTCTATGCATTCATACGTTGCACTTACATATACTTAGGCTTTAGAACAAAAATAGCATACCTAATTATCTAGATAGGTACTAAAAATAGCTAAATGTTTTAGGACATCATTTTTCAGTTTGTAAAAAATCACTCGGAGCTATGAAAAACCGTAATATTTGTGGTTCAATTATAACCTCAAAATCTGATACTTTTTTTGAAATATATCTTTTATGCAGCTAGTCCGCTATAAAAATAAGATCATATAGGTATTTACTAATGATCGACAATAAAACACACAATTTTCCAATGCTCTTGGTTCCAGGGCGAACAATGTATGGGAGCAGAACAATGTCCTTTGGAGACAAAACTTCACCTATAAGGGTAGCAAATAAATAATTTATTTTTTATCAATTTTAAGTCGGTTTTTACTTTTTGTTAAAAGTTATAAGTTATAAGTGTGTAATTAATAATTTTCAAATTTGTAAGGTTTATACCAAACCAATCGATCGTTCGTGGAATGGTGAAATGGATTAGTCAACGTCGATCGATAGCTTCTACCACACCACTCGACCGATGGCATCGATCGACGGTAAAATTAATTAGTCGACGTTCCACCGACCGCTCCCTATTGTCCTCTTCAGAATACATTTTGAAAGATACTGATGATGAGCCCACAACCAACCGATATCGATCGATGATTTAACAACGTTTTATCGACCAGTATTCGTCGATTGAATGGCATCGAACGAAACCCTAATAAGTGTATCAAGGCTATTTATTTGACCCCTTTCAACATCAATTATCTTATGAATAAATGTCTAATTATGATTGAACCAAGCACGTCAAATTAAAAAGATGTTCAATTACCTTTTCAGGATCATCGACGTAGGAAGACAGACCTGGTTTGGACTGCTCGAAAAATTCTTCAACTAGATCCAAACTTGGTGGTCCGAATACTAGAAAATACACAGAAATTTTTGATATGCTATTTACATTTAGGTAACCTAAACTACTCAATGTTTTACTTTTTTAATAATAATTATAACATTTTATAAAGGTACAATAAATATTACATTTTCTTTTTCGAAATTGTAAATAAAGAGTAAGGTGAACGTGCGTATAATCACTACGAAATTAAATTATCCAACATAAATACGTCGAAGAATTACCTTACCTGTAAACGGTACTCTAAATTTATAAGCCAACACCCTGGTCCCTGAAGACCCAGCGTCGATAATAACAGCATGGTGGTACACGCTTTCGTACCCGAGACTCTTCGCTAAGCCATCGAACCACTGTGTCTGCCCCGCGAACAGTCCTTGGAAATTTAATTGAACACAATAAATAAAAAACAAGAAAATAACATTGAGATACATAATTTAATTTTTTTTTCGCTTAAGCGCGGGAAAAGTATAATTCAAGCGTTTGTATCAAATCACCGCTTTAAACTGAACAGACGACGACCAAATCGATGCGAATGTAAGCGAGATACAGGTGTTCATATTTCTATAGCCGCATAACCATCAAATCAAAACCTGATATTGTGATTCTTGATTGAGTCTTGCTAATTAGTAATTTCATTGAGCTAGAGCTGACAAATAATGAATTACGTAAGGAATAAACGTCAAGTTGTTTGTCGTTGTATTTATAGTTTAAAATTAAAAAATGTTTGTACAGCCAACTTTAATATAAATTATTAAGAATAACTCAAAAAGTATTGGTCAGACCTTGACTAATTTATATGGTACCACATGTGAAGCACCAGCTTTTAAATAAAAAAAGAATCATCGAGATCAGTTCACCCGGAAAAAAGTTATGAGGTAACACACATCAAAAAAAACATACAGTCGAATTGAGTACCGTCGTATGTTTGAAGTCGGTAGAAAATTAATAACGAATAAATCCTTAATTTAAAAAAAAATACTAGGTAGTAATTATTCTTTATAAGCGCATACTTACTTTAGCTTTTAAAATATTATTTGCTGCGCACAAAAACATAACAGTTCTTATTCAGAAATTAAATTATGTCAAAATTTACATTTATAAAAACAACACATTTAAATATTAATATTCTAATTTTATTCATACAATGTGGCTTTTCTTAAAAAACTGACCTTGATCCACTAAATAACCTGTAATTTGTGAGTTCGTAATAAACAATCAAAAAAGTTTTAATATGTCGTTGCCCCATTTTTAAATCAGCCAGTTATTTAATACCTAGGCCGTTTTAAGTCAAAAGTCAATAATTTAAATTTGGAATTCAAAGTAAAGTGCATAATATCGAACTTTAATCTAGCCAACATTAGAAAACTGCTATTTCAAATGTACGGACCGTTCTTGGTAGATTTACCATTAGTTATGACTGTTCTATTCCACAAAAATCAATAAGTTAAGATAAAAACAAAAAAAACAATAACTGGTTTTTAGCCCGGCTCGGTAATCGAACGTGGGACCACATGATCAGCAGTCGCGCTTAAGACCGCTATACCAACGAGGCAGTCAACCTTAAGTGTATTTGTCTGTCTGTCTGTTTGTTCCGGCTAATCTGCGAAACGGCTGGACCGATTTTGACGGGACTTTCACTGGCAGATAGCCGATGTTATAAGCAGTAACTTAGGATACTTTTATTTTAGAAAAAGAATTAGGGTTTCGCGCAAAAATAAATTAAAACCCATGAAATCGTAGTAAATCGGAGTTGAAAATAAATTGAATTGGACATGTTAATATTATAAAAGTTCGAAATGTATTTTATAGGTTATGAACTAATCAGTAAGTTACAGTGGCAACGGCCTTGCGCTCGTAAAACCAACAATCGTTTGAATAAAGATAAAAATAAATTCTTGAGTTGCAGCTTTATACCGAATACTTTAGTGACTCTTACTATATTAAATGTTTCATTTGTTTCATAATGCGTACAGTAAAGGAGTGAAAGGATTTGCCAGCATGAGCCTGTCGATCCGATTACAAAGTGAGTGTTCTCAAGGCAAGAATGAGGCTTTTGTTATGCTTTGTGTTAATAATAAAACTTAAGCTACAAACGAACAAAGTCCACCTGATGGCAAGTGGCTACTGCTGTCCGTGAACACCTGCAATAACTTAAAACAAAGAAGACAAGAGATGAGTTGTCACCTTTTTCAACTAAGATAGAATGCCTCATAGCCTGTAATTTATAAGACGCTTGAAGGGTTATGAGAGAGAGAGATAGTACTCTCATAACCCTTCAAGCGTCTTGTAAACCAATATTGACCGACATTTTTGTTATATTATGACTTACACTAAGCATAACTCCCTACCCTAATTCATTACTGATTGCACCATTGACGCAGTCGCGCGCACCCCAGGACCGTAATTGATTTTTTTTTATTTTTAAATCATTTTTTTTTATAGGATAGGGTGACAAACGAGCACACAGTCCACCTGATTGTAAGTGATTGCTGTGGCCCATAAACATCTACATCTATCCTCGATTACGAATCAAAATGCAGATGCGTTGTCACTAAGATGGAATGCCTCGTTTCCAGTAAAAAGGGGTCATCTATAACTTTACATTTTATTATTTTATTGAATTCGGTTAAGTTAGTTAGGGTAGGTTAAGTTAGGTTTCCGCCGAGGAGGACGCGCTGTATGAGGTGTACCGCGCGTCTAAGGAGACTCTGTGGATGGCCATCGGCGACTCAAAGTCACGTGCCAGGGAGAAGCTGCTGGGGTCCCTAGATCGGGATCCGTGGGGGCGCCCCTACCGTTGGGTACGGGGCAAGTTGCGTCCCTGGGCGCCTCCACTAACACAAAGCATGCAACCCCAGTTGCTAGAGGCGGTGGTATCGGCTCTCTTCCCTGAACGAATGGGACACGTTCCCCCGGCGATGGCTTCGCCCTCAGCCACAGACTCTCCAGAAGAGGAGAGCACCGATGTCCCCGAGGTGACGCAAGTAGAGACGAGAGCGGCCGTGTCGTGACACCGGGCTAAGAACACAGCGCCCGGACCTGACGGAGTTCCTGGTCGAGCTCTCGTCCTGGCTCTGAAGGAGCTAGAGCCCCAGCTGAGGGGACTCTTCACGGCATATCTCGAGCAGGGTCATCTTCCCAGTGTGTGGAAGGAGGGGAGGCTGGTCCTGCTCAGGAAGGAGGGGCGCCCCGCGGACTCACCGTCCGCGTACAGGCCCATAGTGCTGCTCGACGAGGCGGGCAATCTTTTTGAGCGTATCATCGCAGATCGCCTCGTCAGCCACTTATCCAGAGAGGGGCCGGACCTGGACGAGAACCAATTTGGTTTTCGTCGCGGGCGCTGGCGGAGGAGACAGTATCTCGGGGTGGGGTGGAGCTGGCGGTGTCTTTAGACATCTCCAACGCCTTCAACACCCTACCCTGGAGTTGTATTCGGGAGGTGCTGAATTACCATCGCGTGCCTCCCTACCTCCGCCGCACAATAGAGGCTTACCTTGAGGAGAGATGCGTAACGTATTGGGGACGCGACGGCGCTGGTCGGCGCGTCATGTCGTGCGGTGTTCCGCAGGTATCGGTCTTGGGACGTAGGAAATCGTGAGATACCCGCGGACGACTCTGACGGCCATCGCCCTTTGCGGTTTGCGCAGAATGACGAGAGTGCTGGCCGTCATGTCCATCGCCCACACAGGGGCCCCACCACTCGACGACTGGCTCGGAAGAAGGCACGGCTCCCTGTCGTTTAGGGCGACGCAAGTGCTGTCGGGGCACGGCTGCTTCGGCAAGTACCTGAGACGCATAGACAAGGAGCCGGACGCTCGGTGCCACCGCTGCGTCCATTGGGGGGAGGACACGGCGCAACACACGCTCGCCGAGTGTGTAGCTTGGGAGGAGCAGCGCCGTGTCCTCACAATTGAAGTAGGAGGCGATCTGTGGCTGCCGGCCTTAGTGCGGAAGATGGTCGGTAGCGCAGAGTCGTGGGATGCGGTGGTGTCCTTCTGCGAGGACGTGATGTCGCAGAAGGAAACTGCGGAACGGGAAAGGGAGATCTCGATCTCTTCCCCGGCCGCAGAAGGCGCACCGGGCGCAGGAGAAGGGCGGACAACGCCCTTTTCCGGCCCCCATGAATGGGTCCAGGGGCGAGTGACTTGGAGAAGTCCCCGCCCTCCTCCTATTCGATGCGCCCTTAGAGGCGCGCGCGGGTGTCGGCGCGCGCCTCTGAGGCGATGCACGGGGTAGTTGAACACCTCACTACCCCGTGCAGGAGACGAGGCCCGAACAGACTGGGCCAGCACTAGTGTGGGGCTGCGGAAGAATTTGTATTCCCGCGGCCCCACGCGCATGTGCGAGGAGGCACCGGGGTGGTTTTAGCCGGTAAGAGTCCGGCACGCCCCTCCGCCTTTCCCCAGGCGGAGGTAGTCCATGAGAATATCCCCCCGTAAAAAAAAAGTTAAGTTAGGTTAGGTGAACCGCCTAACATGTCGCAACACGTTTGACATCATATCCATAATGTAATAAAGTGTAAAGTTATAATCATTTAAAAATAAAAAAAATCCAATTAAGCGAGCCCCTACGGTCTCGGTCGGTCAATATTGGTTTACAAGACGCTTGAAGGGTTAACCTATCGGACCATAACTCAGCAGTGCAAGCACTACTATTTGGAGGATCCAAATTTTATATTTATGTTCATTGGAAGTAAAGACTAGAAATGAGTTGGAGGTGGCTCAAGCTTTAGGCATAGTCGGTTTGAATAGCCTATCATGTAGAGGTTGTCATGGGGGGTCATGCTTGAATAGGGGGCAAAAAGTTCTCATTACACTCTTAGGGGGTCAAAATGGCCAAAAACCAAAAAATTTAAAATTCTTATTTCCGCTATAACTCCGCCTCCTTCGGAGGTTCTTACACAGTCTTTACTTCCCGCATCCCACTTGTTATGTTCAAAACTATAAATAATGATATATTACCGTTATTGCAGTTTCTAAAAATACGAGTAAATAAGGCTTTTACTTTTATTTGAAATTAGCTGTTCTCCACGATTTCGCCCGCGTGTTATTTGGAGTTTTAATTTTTTTGCGCGGAACCCTAATTCTTTTTCTATCTCTTTTTCTATAATAAAACTAGCCTAAGTTACTCCTTGTGTCATCGACTATTTGCCATTGAAAATACCGTCAAAATCGGTCCAGCCGTTTCGGAGATTTGCCGGAACAAACAGACAGACAGACAAAAACTTTAAAAATTGTATTTTTGTTATCAGTACCGTATATACTTTCATCTGCATTTAGTAAAAAGCTGTAGTTTTGACATTACAAACAGACACTTCAATTTTATTTATTTGTATAGATATAGATGTATATAGATTATCTCACATTAAATGTGATTTATGGGCAACAATTACGCGTACGCGCGCTCCTCTGTGTCCGATTAAATTCACAACGTTTTAATTGCCGACCGAGCAATCCTTACGAATGTGTGCGTGCATAGTAAAGTAGTAGTACGTGATTATTGACGTACCTTCAGTCTACTCAATGTCGTTTTGGATAGTGCGTTGTGCATGACCTTTGGTGGAACATATAGCAAGATGGGCCGTGAATAAGGCGCTTTAGATATTTATGAATGACAATCAGTTCAAATAATACATTACCACGCATTCGAAATTTAAAAGATAAAAAGGATAGAATGTTTGAGATTTTTTTTTTCTTCACCATTCGCCTATATTGACAAAAATTTTAAAAATGGTTATTTATGTCTGAATAGCACACAAATAATCCCCTAAGCTCAATAAAAGGCAGTTATTTCGATATCACAGACAAACACTGTTACAACTATTCGTAATCTGATTCCTACATTGTTAGTTAATAGGACCACTTTTAAAAAAGATAAGAATACGTTATGTCATGCATATGAATAATTTATGTAGGAAACACACACTTACTTGAACAACATAACTTAGGTTTTAAAGTACCTAATGTTGTAAAAAATTTTGTTACAAAATATTAGGTTGTTTGTGGTGATTAAACTGTACCTTTGGTCTATTGGTACTTAGCGCAACTGCTGATTCTGGGGTACCGGGTTCAACACCGGGTTGGGTCAAAAAAATCAGTTAAGTATTGTATTTTTCAGTACCAACCCAGATGGCGGTGTTTCACCCCCGTGCCTCGGAAAGCACGTAAGCCGTTGTTTCTGCGTCCGATTTCTTTGATCGTATCGAATGGTCGTCCCATTGGACTATGAGAGAGTATAGAGAGTTTACCTGTGCCTACTATAATCCTGTCCTGCGCAGATAACTAATATACATACGTCAAGAAAATTAGCATAGACTCAAACCCCAAATGTAATGTAATATCGCACTTTGCGCAGTATACCTACCACCCCCTGGTAACTATGCTATTCTTAACAGTTTTACTGAAAATTGTAACAAGATTTTCGAGTACATAGAAAATAATGTATATCCAATGATTGTAGGTGATTTTAATTTAAGCCAAATAGATTGGAGCGAAATAAATAATACATTCTCTGCCACTCAATCAACGCTGTGTCAGACAATAATTGATTTTGCTTGTATGAATAACTTTAAACAGTACAACGATATTCCGAATTCTAAGGGAAAAGTCCTGGATCTAGTGTTCTTGGAGCAATCACATTTATTAGTACAGGTAGACCATGCTACCGATGTTTTGTCTGCAATCGATGTGCTGCATCCTCCCTTAGAAATACTTTTAAAAACAAAAAAATATTACTACTTAGCACAAAACTGTAACTTCACTAGTCGAAACTTTTTTAGGGCCGACTATGAAATGATCAACAGAAAACTGGTGGAAATTGACTGGTCCCAAGTTTTTTTCGGTATACGAAAGGTAGACGACATGGTAACAATATTTTATGATAAACTTAACAAAATCATTAACGAGTATGTTCCAATTGTAAAAAAACGAAACGAAAAAATTCCGAAATGGTTTAGCTCTTGTTTGATCAAGGCATTGCATGAGAAATATAAAATAAGACTTAGATACAAAAAACATAACTATCCGTTAGACAAAATAGAATTGAATATTTGTAGAAAAAGGTGTGAAAAACTATCGTTGGATGCCTACAATTCCTATATAAAACGCACTGAAGAAAATATTGCCGTTAATTCCAAATTCTTTTGGTCTTTTGTCAAATCGAAACGTGGTAGTCTGAATTCATATCCGGCCGAGATGACAGATGGTTCCGTAACCACGTCTGATGGTCAAGATATTTGTAACCTTTTTGCATCGCATTTCTCCTCTGTCTACAGTGAAGAACAGTCTCATCAATCTGGTGAACAGTCACAACCGATCACATATTCCAATGATTTTTTTCAGTTCCATTAACCTGACAGAGGAAATGATTTACCAAAGTTTGTCCAAGCTGGATAGGTCGAAAGGGGCGGGATATGACAAGATTCCGGCCATTTTTTTGGTTAATTGTGCATCAAATTTGGTCACTCCACTACACTACATATTTAATTTTTCTCTCAAGTCTGGAGTTTTCCCCGAAGTCTGGAAGGTGGCTAAAGTTGTGTCAATTTACAAATCTGACGGTGAAAATGTAATAGGAAACTACCGACCAATTTCAATTCTCCCTCAAATGGGTAAAGTTATGGAGTCATTAATTACACCCCTAATTCAAAACTATTTCAAACAATTTTTAACAGACCAACAACACGGATTTACGCGCGACTTCTACAAACTTAGTGTGCTTCACTGAAGAACTGATTAAGTCTATGGACAATAACAAACAGATTGACGTTATTTACACTGATTTTAGCAAGGCATTTGATAAAGTATCTCATTGCCTCCTTCTTCGTAAGCTTTCAGCCTATGGTGTGCATGGTGCCTTGCTGGAATGGTTCAGTTCTTACCTAACTCACAGGTCTTTTCTCGTTGTAGTTAATGGTTATTCATCTAAAATCTACAAAATATCATCAGGAGTGCCACAAGGCTCGCACCTCGGCCCTGTCTTGTGTAACATATTCGTCAATGATGTCTCTGTTAACCTTAATAATGTTAAATCTTTTTTATATGCTGACGATCTTAAACTTTTGCGTGAAATTGATTCCATGGATGATGTGAATCTCCTGCAAGCTGACTTGCATAAGTTGACGAGGTGGTGTCACGAAAACAATATGGTACTCAACGCGAAAAAGTGTACACATATAAAATTCACGCGCAAAAAAAATATTATAAATTCGTCATACCAAATCAATGGTGTCAAATTACGAGAAGTTGACAATGTTCGTGATTTGGGCGTGCTGCTAGATAAGAAGTTAACATTTATAACACATTTCGAGCATATTATAAAAAAGGCATCCGGAATGCTCGGCTTCATCATACGCAATACAAAGATTTTCAAGACCGTTAAGACCAAGATGATTCTTTATAATAGTTTTGTGCGTAGCATTATGGAATACTGCAGTGTTGTTTGGAGGCCTCATTTCGCAACACATACGTTACGCTTGGAAAGGGTTCAGAAAAGGTTTCTATGGCACATAGCGTTCTCTGTAGGTAAAGCTCGATCGCTTAAATCATACAAAAGTAGGCTTCTTGCTTTTAATTTACTGCCGCTTGAAGCAAGAAGTGACATTTTAGATTTAATATTCGTATACAAGCTGTTCCATAATAAGATAGACTGTCCTCCTTTGTTAAATTCCTTTTCCTTCAGAATACCTTCTCGGCTTCCGAGAAATCCTGTTCAACCTATGAACCCACCATTGCGTAGGACTAAACTTGGTCATTTCTCTCCTGTTCCTAGATTGAGTAGACTTTACAATGAATGCAGCACATCGGTAGATCTTAATTTTGATTCTTTAAAACTTTTTCGTAAGCAGATCAGGGACTTTATCACGAAAAAATATCTTTTGTAATTTGTTAAAAAATAACTTAAAATAGGTTTTGTGATTTTTCTTTTCTTTTACATATAAGTAACTTATTATTATTAAGCGCATGATGTGTTCCCCTACAAGTAGTTATGCACTTAGTTTAAGACATGTTAGAACTTGTATTTTTTATTCAAATGTATTGTGTTATAACTGTTGGAGAACCTAATAAATAAAATAAAAATAAAAAGACTGACCGCCGTGACCGAAAATCGGTGAGGAAGATATTATGTCTATAACTAACCGTAGAATCCTCCATCAGCCCATTTCGTCCTACTGTGGGCGTGAGAAGAGATGACTATGGAAAATTTCAAAGAAAACTAGCATCTTCCAATATACGGCGGTATAAACGTCTTATTTAGATACGCCAGACGTAAAATACTCAGACCGGCGGAAGTTCTGGAAAGTTCTTCAGAAGTACGAGAGTTCTGGTACTGAAATTCGATCCGGCTGCCAAGTGTGACGATTAAAGTAAATCCACGCTACAACAGGAGCGACACAATCCTAGCAGTGGACTTTTACGGGCTAGTAAAGAAAAAGAAATGTAAGGAAATATGCCATTCTTTGTCGATCCAACCGCACTAGCACGCAGCGTACCCTACCGGTTGACAACCGCGCAACTCCAGTATCATCAAAGACAGATTTTTTCTTATACCATAAGGATGACAAACGAGCACACAGTCCATCTGATGGTATGTGGTTACTGTGGCCTATAGACATCTACATCTATCCTCGATTACGAATCAAAATGCAAATGCATTGTCAACCGATGGAATCCCTCGTTTCCAGTAAAAAGGGTCTGCTCCTCTACACTCACCATATGTGTGCACAGAAGGTGTAAGAAACATAAAAAAATCAGACAAGTTCTTTCACATAAACAGATTACATTTGATATTCCGCTAACAATGGAAGACGATATCGCCATATGAAATAATTTTTTTTCTTCAATATGGAAATAAAATTTTACTTACCCATAAAGTATGTTGCGCATAATGCTAATATGATGAGCAGAATAAAAACTTTCTTCAGCCTCCTGGGTTGCTTTAAAGATATTGTTCTTGCACTGATATGTGGTGTTGAGGTACCATCTTTTAGCTGAAAAAAAAGAAAATAATATTGACTTCCTATTTGCAACAGGTTCCACATTTTCAGCTCTTTGGAGTCAGATATATATATATACAGGGTTATTTTTCAGAGTAGCCAAATTTTATACTTAAATTCAAATATATAAATAATGATACACCATTATTGCAGTTTTTGAAAATACGAGTAAATAAGACTTTTACTTTTATTTGAAATTATCCCAAATTTGATGTGATTTATGGGCAACAACATTTTTGCCTACCGATCGACACTTAATAGATGTGTGCGTGCGCAGTAAAATCTGGTAAAATCAATTAAAATAATACATTACCACGCATTTTGTATTTAAAAAAACAAAAAGAACAGAATGTTTGAAATTTTTTAATTTTTCTTCGCTATTTGCCTATATTACTTATTCAGAACCTTCTCTGTAAAGAAGACAATTTCTTTTTGTATGCAGAATGGGTCCACCACTAATTGTGGCGTAGCTTAACCGATTCGTTGCGACACCAATTTTCGACAACTTTTAGCTGTGGCGGCGAACAAATATTTCATGACACGCCCGGGCGTGTCAAGCGCCATGTGTAAAAGTAATGTTCTTTTTTATGCTTTTTTTACTTGTTTAGACCTAATTAAGTTTATTTGACATCAAACATAAGTTACAAATGGAAGGATACTTGTTTTTAGTGGGTAACTACGTGTTATTTTACGCGTTTTCTTTGAAATTGAGAGAAAGTGACTTTTTTATGAAGAGATTACAAAACTTTTGTACTATTTTTGTTGTTATAAAAAAATCATTTATATAAGTAGGTACAGCTAAATCACCCTGGAAACCTTGGCATACGGTTTAATTTTAAAAAGTAGATATTTTATATTTTATAGCAAAATTAAATTTTCGATACTTAAACTTTTTAAAAATTAATTTTAAATTAACTAATAACAATAGAGGTGGAGCAATTTCAGATTCTGCTGGAGCATTTAAGGAGCTATTAATTGGCATACAGTTTAATTTTAAAAAGCAGATATTTTATAGCAAAATTAAATTTTCAATACTTAAATTTTTAAAAATTAATTATAAATTAACTAATAACAATAGAGGTGGAGCAATTTCGGATTCTGCTGGAGCATTTATGGAGCAATTAATTGGCATACAGTTTAATTTTAAAAAGCAGATATTTTATAGCAAAATTAAATTTTCAATACTTAAATTTTTAAAAATTAATTATAAATTAACTAATAACAATAGAGGTGGAGCAATTTCGGATTCTGCTGGAGCATTTATGGAGCAATTAATTGGCATACAGTTTAATTTTAAAAAGCAGATATTATATAGCAAAATTAAATTTTCAATACTTAAATTTTTAAAAATTAATTATAAATTAACTAATAACAATAGAGGTGGAGCAATTTCGGATTCTGCTGGAGCATTTATGGAGCAATTAATTGGCATACAGTTTAATTTTAAAAAGCAGATATTTTATAGCAAAATTAAATTTTCAATACTTAAATTTTTAAAAATTAATTATAAATTAACTAATAACAATAGAGGTGGAGCAATTTCGGATTCTGCTGGAGCATTTATGGAGCAATTAATTGGCATACAGTTTAATTTTAAAAAGCAGATATTTTATAGCAAAATTAAATTTTCAATACTTAAATTTTTAAAAATTAATTATAAATTAACTAATAACAATAGAGGTGGAGCAATTTCGGATTCTGCTGGAGCATTTATGGAGCAATTAATTGGCATACAGTTTAATTAAAAAAAAGAATGTTCTACGCTAACTTCCAGCTGGTAATAAATTGGTATTTTTTTCTGTATAGTAAATTTAAGTTACGTTAATTTCTTGTGGGCCCAAAAACGATTGTCTCCTTTGGCCGGTTACTGCAAAATAACCCTGTATGTATAACTGTGTCTTATGAAGACATTAAGAAAATTAATTTACAGATATTTGGCTGACATATGGGTAGTTAGCACATTAATATCTTTATTAAGTCCACTGTTGGTCATTGGTTTTTAGAGAGAAAGTACCAGCCGGTTTGAATTATTTGGCAGTAAGGGCAAATTTAAATATTTTTGGATTGATTTCACACCACACCCCAGGAGAACTCAACTGTCAGTCACGCACAGCACGCCGGCAATTTTGGTAATTGGAGAAAATGTTGGCATATTCTGCCTCTAATACTTATACACTAAGCGACAGTAGTTTAATGGTAGGGTGCGAATTTTACTTTTAACTGGTTCGAATCCACCATTACACTATTGTCGTTGACTACTCCTAACACGAGCATTTTAATGTTACCAAGAATGGTTAATGGGAATATTATTTTATTTTAAATTAATAGAATAGAATAGTTTTATTCGATTTTGATTAAAGTAATTCTTATTGAAAGTCATTTTTTTACTTTACCACTGGTTCGAAAAAAATCCTCTGTCCTGGGAAGTACCAGCAAGAAACCCAGCGGGACTTTTTTTTAAAATACATTTTACAATATAAGTAAATGATTACAAACTATTTACAAAATTTATTTTAGAAACAGCTTGGAGGCGACCACCTCTTTCCCAGGGGTTATTATCAACCATGTATTCGTTTATATTATAATAACCCTTTTTATACAGCTTTTGTTTAATTAAATATTTAAACTTGGTAATAGAGATATCTTCTATATTTTCTGGGACTTTGTTGTAATAGCGTATACACTGCCACAAAAATGAATTACGAACTCTGTAGAGTCGAGAGGCTGGTATCACTAGCTTGTGTTTTTTCCTAGTGTTTTCAGTGTGTATAACTTTTTTTACTAAAACTACCTTTGTTTTGGTGAACATACATTAAATTTTCGTAAATATACTGAGAGGCCAAATTTAATACATTTATTTCTTTAAATTTTTCTCTAAGATACTCTTTCGGTTTAAGGTTGTAAATGGCTCTTATGGCCCTCTTCTGCAAAACAAAAATAGTTTCTAAATCAGCCGTATTTCCCCTAAGCAAAATCCCATAAGACATTATGCTACGGAAATAACTGAAAAAAAAACTAATCTAGCTGTCTCGACACTAGTGAGACCTGTAATCTTTTTTACAGCATAAGTTAGTCTAGTTTGGATATATAAAAAAAAAAATAACACCACTTATTAACTGATATCCCGAACAGCAGACCAATTACAAGCTGTTAACTATTACACTCTAAGTTAAGGTTTAATATTAATCTTATCATCATCAACATTAGCATTACAGCCTATTAATCAGTGCCGGATTAAGCAAGCGCGGGGCCCGTACCAAATTCTATAGAGGGGCCCTTGATGTGCTATGGGTTCATAAGTAATAATTTAAAATAAAAAAAATTGTACAACCGACTTCAATATAAATTTATTAAGAATAACTGAAAAACTATTGATCAGACCTTGATCAAATTTATATGGGACCACATGAGAAGCACCAGCTATCAAATAAAAAAAAGAATCATCGAAATCGGTTCACTCAAAAAAGTCATGAAATAACGCACATTAAAAAATACATGTGTCGAATTTAGTACCTTTTTGAAGTCGGTAGAAAGTGGTAAAAAAACAATTCAATACTCAATACGTTTATTTGCCATCTATAAGGTTACAATTTTGTTGGTGTTTACTAGTACAGTAGATTACTATAGGCTCTATTAGAATCTGACAAGTACAAAAAGCCAGAGATGAGATTGTCCCGGCTATTTAGAATAATTTTGATAAGAAATAACAATTTAAAACTGACGATACTAAACAAACAATTGTAAATCTTTTTAGCACATATTTTAAAGTTTCGTACTGTCTATCGCACTAGCCATATCCGTTTTTATCAGCTGCACTGATTCGCCGTCTTCCAAATCATTTACACAAGCACTGAACTCAAAGTTTTTTTTACATAATCTCTGCTGCTGTGATATATTTTAATTGTTGAAATATTTCAAAAACACTAGTTAATTCGATGGCGATTTTTCCTCTGTCAAAATTGCTAGGTCATTTATCAATATCGGAATATATTGGAACGAAGTTCCTTATCGGGTCTAGGCAAGAAAAATGTAAGATCTTTCCGTCACGACCCCTTCTAACGTAGTGTAGACGGCCTTGACGGCTATAAGGAAGCGAGATGGAATAATATCCATCTCTCTCGCACTTCTTATCTTGCCATGAAAGAAATATTATTTTATTTTAAATGACGCTTCATTTTAAAAGACACTAGTAATTCATTTATTTGTATTTGTTAATCAACAATATAATACGTTTATCAATAATAATATGCTACGAAAGGAACTTCGCTCCAACCGAGTCTTTTTACTTTCATTTTGTTTATTGCTAGAAGAAACGGTAGCAGTTAAATCATGTAATACACCAATATACCATCACAGTTCAAAGCTTTCTTAAAACTGTGATACCATCGACTTCCGTTTCGCTCAAGTATAACAGCTATGGGTCGAGCGAATTTGCTGGATTTTCAATTAGTAAATCAGGAGGACTTTCTGTCTCTTCGATTTCAGTATCACTATAAAGTCCCTACAGAGGTCAAAGTTCAAGTTTTACTTTTATAGGTATATGTACAATGAGATTCAGTAACAAACTTGGACAGATTACGTGTTTTTGATATTCTTTTTCTCATTTAACTTAATTTTGGTACCTAAAACTCTCTCCCGTGACGGGAGCTATATATTTGTATAATGGAATGTCAAAACAAAAATCGTAACAAATTTCGCAAAAACGTTATACCTACCCCTATCACTGATAAGCCACAATAGTCTCTCACCTACATTTTTCGAAAATATTTATCATTATTTCATTCTACTTCATATCAATATTTTCTGAGTATTAATTCATTGTATTGAAATGTATGCCTACCACTAACAAAATGGAGATATATCAGACATTTTGCTCGAATTCAAAATTCACAATTAGTTTTAATAATTATCACCTGAAAGCTGAAAGCGTGACGGTACCTTGGAATAAACAAGAATTAATAGCTTGATAAGTATACAAATTAGATGATAGTGAA